TAACTTTGTATGTATTCCAACCAGMATGATATTGTTTTTAACACATAGCTCTGAGTCCTCCTTAGCACCTCTCAGGACTCTTGTACAAGTAATACTGTTCCATCCCACACCAGAGYGTTGCCTTATTATTTGTTTTTCAGTATTTTCATAAAATATATCTGCCTTCTGAGGAGAAGCACAGTAAGGTCCAAGCAAACTCCACTATGCCTGCTTGAAGGGCTACACATATTGAGTCAACAAACACAGCTTCTAATACAAACTCTGTCCTTGTTGCATGGACCTGGGTAGGAAATTTACCCAGCTGTTAGAGGTCCAAATCTATCAATTCCAGAGATAGAACAGGCCAGCCTGGTACAGCGTCCATTGCTCTGCACATGCTCCTTCTGCTCCCAGGAGAACTCAGGACCTGTAATACCAGCCCAAGGGACACCCACAGACCCATCCTCCACTGGAAGGGGCCTCCATGAAGCTACTGAGCACATTCATTCACTCCAGACAAACCGAGTCCAACTTTGTTTCAAGTCTCACCCTTTCCCATCACGTGCATGCCTAGTCTAGGGGAAAGGCTTTGCAAGGAGCAAGACACTGGGAAGATACTCCCACCACCACTATRTCCTCTCTGCTCCCAGCACAGAGAAACCTTGAAGAACAGGAATAAAGGAGATAGACAAACACCTGGATGCAAAACAATTAGCTGGAAAAGCACTTAGTTACATAACTGGTAAATCCAGTTAAAAGGAGTTTCCCTTTGTGACAGTCCCATCACAGCCACCTCCCAGGGTGCATGAAACCTCAGTGTGGGACACAGATGGTCTCCCCCAYGTCCACACGAGAAGGGACAGGGTGTGGAGGCAACAGAGCTTCTGGTACTCAAGAGAAGCTCTCACACAGGCTACCCCACGAGCTGCCTTTGCAGTCGTTGCCACCAAATGGTAGATGAGAAAGATGGGCAGAGCTTCTCAACACAGGCATGAGAGAATTGAGAAAAAAAGGGAGGAGATAGAAGAGAAGGTATATTTAATAATTTRGGATTTTTTTTTCCCCCATAAACATGAGTGGGGGACCACAGGAATGAGCCAGTGAAACATAGCACAGAGGTGGAGTCTGCCTAAAAACTGGCATGACGCATCACTGGACTGAAAGATTTCAGTTTTCACATGCTCTGTTTTTCCAACCAAAAAAGATGAAACTTTCCACAGAGGCAGATGCTTTTCTTGAAAGATTTCTTTGAGTAGAAATGCCAAATTCTCCATCAGGAAACTGTTCTGATGGAAGAATTTTCAACAAGCCTCATTTGAGATCTATTTCAGGACTGGCCTTCGGTGGCCCGAGACAGTTCTTTTAACTCATCTCTGTTTGCTTGTACTGACATAACGTTCTTTTAAATTAAGAGCATCTCCCTCCTAATTTTGCTCCTGCTACCATTTAAGCAAGTTCTTGCTCTGGCTYGTGTGATGTTGTCGGCAGCCCTGGCACAGCAGCACAGCCCAATGCAATCCAGGCCTGCAGAATCCAAAYCCACCCCGTCCTTCCAGCAAGGGATGATGCACAAACATTTTCCCAGAACCTTCACCCTTGTGCAAGGGGGCAGAGGGCTTTCCAACACTCCCTCACAACTCTGTCCATCAGCCAATTTTAAGGCTTTTTTCAGCTTTCTCTGCCTATTTCTAATGCAACCTTTCCTATACAAAAGGAGTTTAGACCATTGCCCGATTCCATGGGGTCATTTCCAGCAGAATCGGCAACAGCAGTCATCCTTAGCATGCATTCTGTGCCTCCAAATGGGAAATTGTTTCTTGAGTCTCAGGTTCAGCCTGACTCTTTGCTGCAGTGATTTGTATCCTGCCCTCGAAGGGGACAAGGACGGTGCCACAAAGCTGAGGACACCACTCCAGAGCACGGCATGGCCCCCAGCAGAACACTGCATCAACCAGGCTGGTGATATCTACTGCTGTGCCAGGGTTCTGCTCCACCACCCTTCACCCAACAGGCTCTTTCTAAAGATTAGTTGTAGCTTCCCTCACTGCAGCACAATTTGAGCAAAGCCAAGGTCCCCGCAGCGCTAYGGACTCTCTCCTTGCACATAGACCAGACTCCCTATGGCTGCTCTGCAGTGTGTGGTGGCCAAAACAGCTCAGTTGCATAGATTCCCCAGCCTGTAATTGCTCTTAGTCTTGTAGCAGCAGCACTTTGGCATGTTCTGCTGGGGGCAAAAAAAGCACACTTTTGATTTCAGCCACTTTGCTGCGTTTGGAGCTGGCAGCTACTAATCAGCAGGGCATAGACCTAGGACAGAGCACCGTAACTCCAGATCAGTAGTGGCAACTACTGCCTCACTCCAGAGGTCAGACAAACATTCAGTATGAAKTTAGCAACTACCAAACAGTTGCTCCTCGTTAAGGGCCACCTGCAATTAGCACTGGTGCACTGCGTGTGCACTGGCCACCCACAGACATGCTGCCCCACGGTGACACGGCACACAGCGCACCTCCTCACCACAGCCTGGCTCTGTGCAAGGAAGGGGTGCCTGCATTTTCCATCCTTTCCCAGTGCTCCTCTACCAGCTCCTGCTGGAGCAGCAGAGATTTGTGGCCTTGGGTTGCCCTCTTGCGGTGCCGCTCAAGTGCGATATTGCAGCAGTTTCGAAAGCTCCTTGCAAGCAGAGATCTCTGCACAGTGAACTCAGAGCCACCAACATGCAGCTCRTTTCCCTTCATTACCTTCTCAGACCGCTGAGAAGCTGCTCACGCACCATGGGTTGGACACTGCTCTGCTGAGCTTTGTGTTCAGAGCAAACAGCAGCATTCTGCCATTCAGTGAAATGATTAAAATTTTGTAAGGAAGTAGGATTTCCAGTAAAAGCTCAAGCTAAACCTGCTTTAATCTTCTTTCCAAAAAATTACTCCCTTAGCCAAGAACTAAACCAAAAAAAGCTATTCTTGCCACTCCGTAAATAAATACTATGAAGCACTATGCTGTCTCAAACCCAAATGAAAGATGCRCCACAAAGATGACCTTTTTGCGTTTTATTTCAGGTTGCTGAGACACTCCACCTTTTATTGAACTGGCTCTTTTTAAAAATTATTATTATATGTATTTTTGAATAGAAGCAGTCTGATCTTCCCTCAACWGTGTAAGCAAATGGCTCTTTGCACTGCAATCGTTCAGGATTTAGTGCAAGGCCTATAAAGAAGAAGGGTATTTCAAGCCTAAGAAAAATTGTCCAGGAGTTAATCAATTCCCCCAGATAACTGGACATTGAGGCCACCAGAAGCATGCTTCAGTGGCACACCTGCTCCATGGAGAGCCCAAAGGACAGTTGCATAGCCAGCATTAGCAAGTAGACCAGACCAGACCATTCAATGGCCTTGAAACCCATCAAACTTGAAACTTCAGAAAAGCAGCAATCCCACCAAAATCAATAGAGGCAGTTTGATGAATGGTGAAGACACAAGAGGCAATCTGTATCTTGACCAACACCCCATAAGCATTCCATATATTTTAAATAAAGGAAAAAAAAATCAATACCTCAACTTTCTGCCACAAGTGATGAAAAGCAGGTTTACAACCTCAGARCTGGGAGAGCTCTGCTGCCATCTCCAGAGCACAGAGCAGCAGCACATGGATGGACACACATGCATGCTTGATGCACTTGATGGGGCCACCCAGGTTCTCAGATAATTGTTATGGCATTTTGCTAAAGATAACAACCTACTTAGTGTGATTTTCCTGAAAACAACCTCCCTGAGCAGCATCTCTGACCGTTCCAGCTGAGGACCCAACCAAACATGAACAACCCCACAGAAGCAGCGCTCTCCTCAGGATGCAGGGCAACCATGGCCAGAGCAGCAYCAGGAGCTGCTCACTCCACCATGGCCCACCTACACACAGGCCTGYCCCCCCATAATGCCACCCACAGAATACTGCCTTACTTCACACGCTGACCCCAAAGAGTCACCGTGCTCTTCGGGTCTCACTGCCACAACCAGTGCTGGCTCTCAAGACAAAGCCCTGCTCTGCAGAGTCAGTGCTTGTGCCTTCAGCAGCCACACTGGGCCTGGACCAGGCYTGGGGTGCCCCAGGCCCTGCCTTCAGCCCCATGAGCAGAAGATTCAGGCCACATGCTCATTACCACAGGTGCCAGCGAGGCAGGAGGAAGGCCCATCCATTTATCTTTCTGCATAGAGATACTAGAGAAGCTGGGAGATTTTCCTGCTCATGTTGAACTTAGCAGCCTAAGGAAGAGTTTCAACCACTTTAACTGGGGACAGCCCTCATGYTGCAAGCAACCACAGCTAACAGTTAACATCCTCTCCTTGGAAGTTGGGCACAGTGCATGGAGATAGAAATTTTTAAGAACAAAATAGTTAAATTGGAACCCAAAGCCCAGCTGCAAGACTGATTTGGTTGAACAGGAACTTCATTTGCTCTTGGTATAGGACCTCATGCCCCTGCCTCCTCCATCCCCAGCTGCTGCATAAGTCTGCTGGTTTCACCATCCTCCTTGTGCACACAGACTAGGGGGTTCTTGGCACCCACAAGTGTGGACTAGATAAACCAGGAGCTGGGCAACACCCCACACCTCTATTGCCAGCCCAGGCTCAGCTTGATGTCCTACATATGAACAAACACAGTCAGATCAGGAAGGCCCCTGTTAATCCCCTGTTACAACCAAAAGACATTACCCTAGGCTCTATAAGCTCCACATCAGCCCTAGGCCCCAAAGATGGGCCCATCACAACAATACCCCATCCTTACCCCAGTTAYCAGGGCTGCTCTCAGCACAGAAGGAGCTCCTAGAGAAGATGCTCTTCCCAACAGGATCCCTGCCTTCCTCACAAACAGCCAAAACCGAGAGTCTGAGACACAGCTGTTAAAAAMCACCTCCAACCAAGCTCAGCTGGTGGTAATTTACCTCTAATCATTGCATACAGCCTTGTTTTTACCCCCTTAAAAACCCTGCTCCTTATTTTTCTGCTGTTTTGGAGGTTCTCTTTAACTCCTTCTTCTTGTTTATACAGYATATGGCTTCCAAAGGGTGCTCTGTTGTTCCCTTGTTTTCCAGGACCATTTGTTTTTCTTTCTAGCTCCCAAAGTATGTCCCTTGYRTGCATATGTGTGTGTGTTTGTCTCCCAGGTATTTCCTATTACTGTTCCTTCTGCTCTCCCAGGCACAATGATGTTACGGCACGTGCCGCCCAAGCGGAGTGCAGCATRCTTGATATTCTCTGCAGGCACAACTTAGCCTCAGGCTTTACACTGTGAACAGTCTAGCAACTAATTAGTAATTAATTGTTTGCACATCTCTAATTCTTCCTTTCCAGGCTAACGGAGCATTTCACAGGCCTAAAGGAACTAAAGAGCTCATCATTCCCAAGAGTGGCTGAGCAGGGCAACACGTGCGTGGGTGTCTAGGATGTATCTCTGTATCCTGAAGCTGCTGCTTGGACACACTGGAATTCTGGGGCTGAGTCCCAGCCCTTGTGTGGGCTGTCTGTATCTCTGAGCTAGAAGTTTCCTGTGGTTCTTCACTATGAACCTGTTTTGTGCCACCTTTGTCCAGCAAATACCCCATGTAGCCCAATCTAATAGAAAAGAGCAGTAATGTGGTCTTCTTCCTTTTTTTCTCTAAACAGAGGTAAACTGTCTCTGAAAGGATATGGTGCTTAAATTGTGAATGATGTGATCTTGCTGTCTAAATACTGGTGAGGAGCTGGGCCAAAGCAGCTTTGTGTGTGCCTAGGAAGGCAGAAGGGCAACTTAAATCCGTGTGAAAATCCTCCCTGCTGTGCCCAACTGCCAGCAAGTTCAGGGGGAGACGTGGACCCACAGCAGTAAGTGCAACACCCTGGMTGCAAAACCCAGCTCCTCTACAGTGCTGAAGAGGGACTGCCTTGTCTCTCCTAAAGAAATAAGTTAAAAAAAAAAAAAATTGCTTTGCCAGATGACCGTATGTCATAAGTCAGCTGGCAGGAAAATAAATTTCTTGTTGCTTTTCCCTGTGGAATTGAAACATATCTGCGTTTCCACTTTGATAGCATCAGGAACATCATCCTCAAGCATGGGGGAGGTAGGACTGACTTTGCAGAGTCAGAGCTGCAGGCCTGGTGCAGTCAGTCCCTTTGTATTCCACATCCCCTTCCTTTTTTTTTTTTTTATTTTTTTTTTTATTTTTTTTCTCATTGTTTTTAAGGTAGCAAGACTTTCCCCAGTGGATCTGAGCCCAATGCATGGCAGACGGTCACTGCACGGGGTCCCAGACATTGGCATTTGCTCATGGGCCACCAGCCCAGAAGCGCCCTGGGAAACTGCAGGGATCTTCTGAGCACTCTTGGTGGGCGAAGCTCAGCACTTGCCCCAGCAGCCATGAGCTCTGCTGTGSCTGCAAACCTGCCCTGTAGAGGCTGGGTCTGGTTTTGCAGAGGTTAAATCTTCCCAGGTACCCTCCAGGGTTCAGCCACTTGCATTGCAGTGACTGCCTGGCCTCCCCYAGTTTTATGGCTCATGGTACACGTATGCCTATTTCAGTGATGAGCAGGGTTTCTTGTACTGTTTTAATGCCCTTGTTCRCACAGGTGAGTTTCCCTCAGTACATCTCTAAACTTCACATTTKCCTCTGCACTGCTCCCTTTCTCATCAGATAGGAGAAACCAGGACCCTCCACTGCRCATCAGGACTGGAATCTGCTCTATGTTTGGGAGTGCAAGGTAGCAAAGCCTCTTCTGACGTGGCCACCATCTCTGCTCTAGCTTTATGTGACCAGTGATCCTGGCCGTGGGGTGTAAAGTGGGTTTACAGGTAGTGTGACCAGGTGTCAGCCTTGCTGTGCTCTCCAGGAGGTGTGAAAGGCATCATCTCAGAGCCAAGGTCAGYGCTGCCCTGCTCAGGTGTGGAGAGATGAAATAAAATGCTTGTGTCCAGTGATGAGTGGATGTAATCTAAGAATCACTGGGAAAAGTTCTTCGGCTTATGAAATGCAGATCAAAATTGATGATTTAATATTTTGTCCTGGTCTTAAATTTGTCAGGTGTGGCTCTGGCTGGATACAGAAATCTGCACATCCTTCATACCTSTTGTCCACTTCCAGTCAGAGGCATGTCTTGCTCAGAGCCATCTCGTCAAAAGAAAACCTCCCACCAATGATCAGAGCTTCTGCCAGGCACAGCAAAGGGTCCGAGTTTGGGTGAGGCTTCATCTAAAAGCACTGCTCCACTGTAAGTATTCTCGAGGGGGATGAGACAGGAATTAGCCAGAAGCTGGGACCCCGAAGCAGGTTTTCTTTATATATATATCTGCAGAGGGAGACTGGGACAGGACAAAAATTGCTGCTTCCTGCCCCATTAGAAATGCTTACCTCCAACAGAGACCAGACTGAGTCTAACCTACCTGCCTGCTCCTCTTTTTCCAAGCTCTTTTGTGCCTTCATGGTCCATATAGATCCAAACAGCCGCATCTGAAGTTCCCAATCACAAGACTCCCCCCTTTYTTTTAATGGTTTCTGGGCTCAACCCACCTTACTCACATCAAGCAGATGGTGCCCCRGGCCTCATGCTGGAAGGGCTGCTGGCCCAAATGAAGCGTAACGTGCCGAGTTGTTCCTAACAATAGGGTCCTCTGTTTGGCTTTCCTGTGAGGGTTATTAAAGCCAGCGTTTATTTTGGACTGGGACCAAAATGTGCATTGGTGTTCCTCGTCCTGTAGATTTCTGCGTACAACCCAAATAAGTGTAGGGGGGTTATGAACACCTTGCCAAGCTGGAGAAAAGTTATTTCGGACTCTGACGTCTTCTTCCTATATGTCCCCACGCTTCCATGCGTGCTGGGGGTGCTCGGGGCTGGCAGCTGGGCGTACTCATCTGCACCAGATCTGCTGTAGTGCAGCAGGGAGCGCGCACAGCGCGGGCTCACACGTGTTCCTAATTGTGTCCCTGGGCTCTGGAGGAAGCCATTCCGATTTCCCGTATTGAGTTAGCGACGCTGAATTCTCATCATAAATATTGGGACTTGGGAAGAAAGCAAACAAGCTCCCCTTGTCTTGGGAGAATGGATTTGCCTTGGGTTCAGAGAAGCTGCCACATGCAGTGCAGGTGCTGTGTGTGCAGGTCTCCCTTGCTTTCCATGGATACTCACTGCAGGCAAAGCTGGCATCCCTAAGCCTCCTTCCTCTCTCCCTCCACTCCATATACCAGTCAGTCCAATGAAGGTCTTACCTTTCCCCACAAACCTGACTCGTGACTGAGGTCAGGACAAGCACCCGCTTGCTTTGCATAGCCTCAAGAGCAGCACCGAGAGGGCCCTGGGCAAGACCAGCAGCAACAGAGCTCAGGGTCGCGCTCAGGATCAGATGCTCGGCCTCGCTCCCCCGTGCTGAGCTGGCAGTCACGGGTGCTACTGCCATTTCCCCCCTGCTTTAGCAGTTTGTTTGCTGGGTTTTTGACATGTCCTTTGCTGAATTCTAAACATCAAAATAGCCTGCATCTGCTCTCTCTGTCATGCTGTAATTAGGAAACAATATTATTAAAACTAATTCCCAGCTCTGCTTTCCTTTCATCTCCCCTCCTTCTTGTTGTTCCTCTATTCTCCTCCCTTTGCCGCCTGTGGCCTTTGGACTGAATGCTGATGAGCTGTTGTTTGGTCTAATCTGCACTGCTTGTTAACCGGGCTGTTAGCGTGGTTTCTAACCACCTGCTCAGTGTTTGCTTCCCTCCCGTTCCTGCCTCACAGCTTATCCAGTTCTTCTGCCTACAGCACATTTAGATGAAGCTCTTTGGGTTGCCATTACTTTGAATAAGGCGGAATTCAGCAAATCCAGCATTTGGAGCATGTCTAGCTGCAAACGGGCACGTGCTGCGTGGCCYGTGTTGAAAGCGCATTGGCTCAAACGCAGGTGCTGTGAGGGGTGAGGAGGGACTGAGCGAAAGCATGGAGCCCCATGACACAGTCCCCCCACACTGCCCAGGAGCTGACCTCGCTGATGTCCTGTTTAAGGAAGACTTGGCCGTTGGAGCCGACTAGACTGCTCTGTGTGATGTGCTGCAGCACGGCAATGCTGCAGCTGGCAACCCCCATCCACAGCACGTTCCTGTCCCCAAAGCTGCCCTGGGCTTGGCAGCCCTGGGACAGGCGTRCTGAGAACAGGGTGCTGTGTTCAACGCTGCACCTTGCCCAGGGAGGAGGAGCATCCTGGTGTTTCTTCCTCCAAACTCTTCCCCTAGTGAAGATTTAGCTGCAATTCTTACCCTTTGTAGTTAAACTCATAGTTGAAAGTACAAAGCACGGGCACGGTCCTTGCCAGTAAAATTCGCTCTGAGATTTGTGAGTCACAGGGGAAGAGGCAATTGAAGTTGAAGGTGCATGGGACTGTCCACAGGGACAAGCAGGAACACTGGGCCATGGAGAAGAGGTACCAGGAGAGCTGTGCTCTTACRGAGGGCAATTGGACCCGGGAAATGGATCCTCCTCTTGGCAAGCCTGGGACCGTGACTCACACCTCTAATAGATGCTCTGAGTTTAATGGGTGACAGCAGGACTGCCCGAGTGGAGCACTATTTATACCTCTCATGCCAGAGATTGCCAAGATGCCATTTCAAGCTAAGCTCCAAGGCCCAGCTACTTTCCGTGCAGACTGCAGCGTAACAGGGACACCAAGAGCTCCATGGTCCTCTGTTGAGCTCCATGGTCCTCTGTCCACACAACGGCCTGGACATGGGAGGCAGGGATGAATTGTTCCTCAAAAGCAGCTAGGAATGATCTACCGCCTGTCAAAGGAAGCATATCTGGACCCTAAGAGTGTAATTCCCTGGCAGCCTGTGGCTGGACACGCGGTGCTTGGAGCCGGCYCCTTCCCGGGGATGTAGCGCAGTGCTCCCTGTCTGCACTGAAGCACTCAGGTTCTGGTTGGAAGGTCGCTCCCATTTGGGTATATGGGCRCTGACAGCCAGCAGGGTCTGAAAGAAAGATCTGGAAATTAAGATAATTTTTCAAAGGCAGAGTTAATTAAAAGAAAGTATTGAAGATGCTTGTACAATTTTCCTATCTGATTTTCTCCTCTGTGTTTTCAGTGGGATGAGAAGCTCTGCCTGTAAATACTGTGTGCCATCAGCTCCCGCTGCAAGAGATGGCATTTGTAAGGAGCAGCAGAGAGCAATTTGCCAAGCATAGCACCTTCATTGAACCTATTAACTTACAGACAATGCCACTCTTTTACATGGTAATGGCTCGTATTGTTCTTCTAACATCTGGCATTTATAGCAAATAGCAAATCCGTGCTGAAAAGCATGCCAGGAACAGGCTGGACTTCCCAATGCAAATGCTGGGGAAGCAGAGGGATGAAAAAGGAACTGGCCCTTAAGGACTGTGTTTGAAATTCRCTTTAAGTTTCCTCCAATTGCTGGTGTTTCCTTCCTATATTTCAGAATTGATGGCTGCCTTGAGAGGTAAATCACAGAGCAGCCCCAGAGTGTAGCTATAGCAGCAAGCCTGGGCGGGCTGTAAATCAGCCCCATCCGACTGGAAGCTCTGCTGGCTCYTGTCCAAACAAAAATTCAGGGACAGGCTTAAGTAGCCCTGCTTAAAATCAAAGGGAGACAGTAGGTGGGAATGACTGCTGGGCAAAGAT